TTAAGACTGTTAATTTGAGTTTGCTTAATTTTCTGTTTCCAGTTGAACCGGGTGAAAGACAGGCTCAAACAAAAGAAAATTGATCTTCACTTCACAAAAGAGGCTGTTCAACTTCTGGGGACTTTGGGTTTTGAGCCCAACTTTGGAGCAAGGCCGGTTAAGAGAGTGATCCAGCAAATGGTTGAGAATGAAATTGCAGTGGGAGTTTTGAGAGGAGATTTTAAGGAGGAAGACTCCCTCCTTGTTGATGTTGAGGCGTCACCTTCATCTAAAGACCTCACTCCCCACAGCAGATTGCGGATCAAGAAATTAGAGAACAGTTCTCCATTGGATGCCATGGTAGCAAATAACTGACATTGCATTTTGGGGCTGTCACTTGCACGTATGGGTCATAATAAATGGTTGTCTGGTTATTTTGTTATCGATGATAGATAATTTCCTTCCAGGAATTTCCTCAGAAAATACATAGTTAGTGGTCGTGGTAAAACAACTCAACTTCTCAAGGTACATTTCTAGTAATAACATAGTTACCATTTTGTTTCATTTGTAAATACCTCTGCTAAAACATACAACATGTTTCTGGTCTCTGAAATACTTGAAAGAGTTTGTGTCATCATTCATTCATTCTTTTTTTTTTCTTTGGCATACAGGGATTTCTTTGTAGTATGTTTTAAAAAAGAGAAAACATGTATGTAGTGGAGCACTCAGTTCTGACAAATGCTTTTATATGCAAAAATGTAACCATCTTTCTATCATCATATTGTTCTCTCCCATGAGTATGCTCCCCATCATAAACCAGTGAGATTAGTATTAATATAAACATTGTTGAAGTCCTAGTGGGATGAGTGAGAGGACAGTTATAAAAGACTAGCACACTTCCTCAGTCCTAACTACTCCTAATACTATATTTTTTTTAGTGGTTGTGGTATTTTTAAATTAATCACACACCTTAACTAATTTTTCCTATTATCTTAAGGCGCGCAGGTACTTTTCCTTTTTGAAATCATAATCAAACCAGTTTAGCAATAATTGAGGAATCTCTAATTCTCAACTTAGATGTTTAAGCAGGTGACCTCGGAGACGTCAAGTTTAATGTCCAAACATCTAATTTGAGAGAGTTTAATGAATTTTAAGTAATTAATAACATTAATATGTGTTTGTTGAATTCTTTATCTTTTCTTCAGCTTTTTTCCCATTTCTCGCCAATCATAT